TGACGGAAACTTGCTGATGTTGTTGGCTACGCGGATGAGCAGGCGCGCTCCCTTCATGTGATTGCCGCGCTTCACGTGAGCCTGGAACACAGCACACATTTGCGTTATGCGCAGCCTTCGGAGAGTAATTCCTGCCGCCCGCTCTCGGCTTTGGGCCTCCGGGGAGCTGCACGCCCACGGCTCTTTCACAGAACTGAGCAGAGAAGTTACCACGTGCTAGAGAAGGGACCAGAGACTTTACCTTTCCCAGAAGAGTCTTTCTGGCCTTCAGTCCCACTGCTTGCCTGCTCTTGCCTCGCTGCCGGCGGCAACGGAGGCCAGAAGCCTGGCTGCAGTCTGAACAGATAGTCCTGGTGGGCCCCAGATCATGTGAGCCCCTGCTGCTTCATTTCACTCACACTAAAGCAGTGATATATGCTCATGAATAATAATCAGTAACAGTACTAGCAACACAACATATTTTAAGTATGAATGCAAGATGCAGGTTTTTAACTATCCAGTATTTGAAAAAGAATGTGCTAATCAGAGGCAGAAACAACCAGAAAGTATTGATTGTGCTTGTTAGCAAGCACTTGGATTCTGTGACACAACTTATATGACATATATGTATGGTAATTTATGTATACAGGGCATCTATAAGGACAGTTCAATAAATCACAGACTGTGCAATTTATGCATAAATTCTGTTCCTCAATTCATTACCTTCACTAGAATATAGCTGTGTAGAATCATTAGGTTTGTAGCCATCTCAGAAGGAATTTTAATCCTCTGGGTCTTCAACTCTGAATACATACTGAAAAGAACATCATGTGCATTTCGGTAGTTTCCTTAAAAACAAAAAACACTGAATAAGAAATTAAATTTTTCATAACAATTTCTTTACTAATATGCAGAAGGTGAACAGGAAGTTATGTTGATTCTTAGAGCAAAACCTTTGCAAGACCATTTCTTTGGAAAGTCACAAGCAGTTGCTTGTCAGTTTCCTGAACAGAATCAGCCAGGGAGTTAAATAACCTACACTTTAAATAACCTATAATTAAAAAGTCTACACTTTAAAAATTCATCTAGAAACAGTAGCAAAATACATATGTGGATGACAATTTCGTATTACAAAGCTTTAAAAATGGAAGATATTGTATCTAATACATTGCTTCCACAATAAAAAGAGAAGGTATTTTTAGAGTATTTAGAGATGTTACCTCCTTTTGTTCTTCACTGTCAAGACATTTCAAAAGCTGTTGCTTACATGTTAATTTACCATACTTTTACTTTATCATTAGCTTTGGCAAATCCTTGCCTCTGGAACCAAATAAACCCAAAACTTTTCACAGAGATAATTAAAATTTGAGTGTTAATTCACTAGATTATACTGGTCCAAGGTTACTAGCAAGGATTGCTCACAAACTACAGGATTTCATTAAATTATCAATTTAGCTGAAAACACCCAGTGCTTAGTACGATCTGTCTACCCTTAGCCAGCTGTTTGTTCTTGCATTGGGTTTGGGGTTGGGTTTTTTTTCACTATTAAGAGTATAAGGAAGTCATAGGCTTTGCAGTTAAGAGGCATTTAAAGGAAATTTCAGATTCAGTTATTTCGGCAAACTTTGTTTTCCTCTGTCTCTATTTCTCTATCAGTAAACATTTTTACAGAGCAATTTGTTACATGTTGTTACACATTAGAACTGAATCAGCCAGTGGAATTTGTGTGAGGCGGTGACATATCACTGCAGAATTAGCTGCTGGAAAACAACATTAATTTTGTCACTCTGCGTTACTGACTCTCAGTATAATAGTATCAGTCTTAAAATCACACTATTACATAAAAAATAAAATGAAAACTGCACATGAAATAGCATACCCAAAGGGAAATACCAGACAGTTTGACTTTAAAGGAAAGAATAAGCTATATTGCTGTGAACTTCATAATTAAATTAATGGAAACCTTCTGAAAGAACTGTGCCTCTGCAGAGGAAAATTACTGCAAGGTCGGTGATTTTAATGAGAAAAAGACTGTGCTTATTGTTACACTGTTGCAGAACACATCTCTATGCTATGGAAGAAGGCCAAGGGCATCCCAGCCTGCATCAGGAATAGTGTGACCAGCAGGATCAGGGCACTGGGGGGGCTGCACCTCGAATCCCAGGTTCAGTTTAGAGGCTCCTCATGACATGGAAGACATTGAGGTGCTGGAGCGTGCCCAAAGAAGGGCCATGAAGCTGGTGAAGGTTCCAGAGAACAAGTCTTACAAGGAGCAGCCAAGGGAACCGGGGTTGTTTAGCCTGGAGAAAAGGAGGCTCAGGGGAGACTTTATTGCTGGAGGTTGCAGTCAGGTGGGGGTTGGTCTCTCCTCCCATGTAACAAGCAACAGGAGAAGAGGAAATGGCCTCAAGTTGCACCAGGGGAGGTTTAGATTGGATATTAGGAAAAACTTCTTCACCCAAAGGGTTGTTAAGCACTGGACCAGGCTGCCCAGGGAAATGGTTGACTCACCATCCCTGGAGATATTCAAAAGACGTGTAGATGTGGTACTTAGGGACATGGGTTAGTGGTGGCCCTGGCATCGCTAGGTTAACGGACTCCATTGATCTTAAAGGACTTTTCCAACCTACATGACTCTATGATCTTACGACAGTTCACTGCTATGATGAACTGGAAGATCATGCTGGCCAAGTCCTTATTAGCCCAATGCCAACGAGCAGTCCATAAATGTTAATTTGCCTTGGCTGTTCCTGAGGCTGTTATTTGTCCTTTATAGATATTTTTCTTAACCTACTTGAAAAGAAAAGCAAGCAGGGTTATGTCAGGGCTGTTGCCATGGCTACAGAGGAGCACGAATAATGGAGGCAACAGTTATTTTGCTTCTATCCCTGTCTCTTCTTATTACTTTTTTTTCTATTTCCATCTTCAGCTCCCTATTACAGGAGAAAACAAGGCTTAAGTCTGATCCTTCAACAGAAATCATCTCTTGTGCACAAAGAATTACAGAATGGCCTAGGCTGGAAGGGACCTTAGAGATCATTTAATCCAACCTCCCTGTCATGGCCAGGGACGCCTCTCAACTAGATCAGGCAACACTTGGGGACCGAATGGGAATCGAACCCACGACTTTGGTATTATCAGCACCACGCTCTAACCGACTGAGCTAACTGGCACCCACACCTCCCTCTGAAAAAAATCACGTATAAAGACTAAAGGATCAGTATGCAGGTCGGAAACTGCACGTAGAAACTGCAATTCTAAGATCTCCGATTAGCAGAAAAGTAGAATCTCAGGCAATCTTAATCATTATGTGTACTTGAATGCAGTAAGGAATGCTGGTATTTTCCACAAATTTCTGTTTTCCATAGTGTCAATCTTTTCACAAAGGCGACTTAAAATTCAAAACTAAACTTGAATACAATTAAAAGAACTGATATGTGTCCTTTCTAAGCATAAATAACAGTACCCTAAACACACCCTGAAAGGATGTAGGGTCAGAGATCATAGAATCATTCAGGTTGGAAAAGACCCTTGAGATCATGGAGTCCAACCATGAACCCTACTCTACAAAGCTCACCCCTAAACCATATTCCTCAACACCACATTTAAACGACCTTTAAACTGTCACATGAGTGAAAACAGGCTTACCTGAACGCTGCTCCTCTCTGCCAATTATGATAGCAGTTCTGGCAGCTTCTCTGTACTGCTTTAGCGCCATGTATAAGCGGAACAGGTACTTGGCGTCCTTAATTAAATCATACAAAAGCAATTAATACCAACTGAATCCACACGGCCGTATTCCCTTTCTTTATTTGCCCACCCCACCGCCACGTTCTTTAAAGCAAGCAGACAAGCGGGCTCGTTTTTCTGAAGAGCTCTTCAGAATGACACACTTAGCTACGCTACACTTCCCCCACCGCAAGTTTTGGCTTCGTCAGCGTGGTCACAGACAAGCACCCACGCTGAGGACTCTGGTGGGGTTGCAGCGGCCGAGGGGTGAGCCCTGTGGGCACGGCTGCGGAAAGCCGCAGGTCGCCGGGCACAGAAAGAGCGGAACAGGCAGAAACCCAGCGTTCAGAAATTTCTAAACTGCGTTTAGAAATTGAAATCGTGCCAGAAGTGTTTAAACTGCATTATGGATCTAAATGCAAATACTGCTTAGTGCCAGTAAGGATGACAAAATCCAGCCATTAAAGGGGGTAATATTGTTCTAGGACCAGGGGGTAGACATCCAGGACGACTAAAAAACTGAAAATCAAAGGGACAACCAGCTAAGAAAATGCACAAAATTTCTCATTTGCTAAGCTATGAATTTTTGATACATTATGTGACTCAAGAATGGCAGACGTAGCAAAGGGTTCACCCAAGAACTGGCAATCCAATAGCACAAAAATTAGTAAAGTAATTTAAAAACAAAACTTTAGAAACTCAAGATAGGAGTAATGAAGAAAACAAACTAAGTTCTATCTCTGTAAAGTCTACTGAAACTTCTAGCAGACTAATGAGATAAAAAAAAAAGAAATCAACAAAAGAGACCTGATCTTTCATAAGAATTTTGAGAAAATCCTCAGAAGATGTCATTCCTAAAAATATAGCTAAAATATAAAATAAAATTACTTTGCTTATGACACAAAGGAACTATTAAGTGAAAAAAACCCTGGGCTAGTGTTGCTATCATATCTTTAGCAACGATTTCTAAAACAGAATCAATAATAAGTCAGGTCCGTTCATGATAACTTTTTAAAAAGTAAATCAAGACTTGGTTAAGTTGAAATACTGAATATAATGGAATGGCTCCAACTGAAGTATACAATCAGAAAAAGAAACCACTGGAGCCATTGTTATCTTTATAGACAGCTTTAACAAAAAAAATCAAATCAACTAATTCTGCAATGTCAGTAGTAAACCCAAACATTTACAAGGTGTCTTCTTTGTTAAAATGGTATAAAGATTTTTTAAGAAAGAATTGTATTAATCAATATTGTGCTGCTCTCTGGAATACTCTGTGCATTTTGTATGTAAGTCTCAAACACACAGCAAAAAGAAAGAAATTCAAAGGAACGGGAATATGAAAGACATAAAGACATCTCCTTTTAAAGAAGGTGACTGCAAAGATTAACTCCCTACTTGAGAAGCAAGGGAAAAAAACAATAACAAAAATAAAAGCAAGAGAGAAAGAAAAAAGGCAAGTAGAACTCTTCTTTTTAGTTCACAATATATGGAAAAAGCGTTAAATAACCAAAAGTAATTACTTTTAAACTAACGATATAGCAGAATTTTAAGTAACACCCCATCAAAAGGTCAAACACCCTAAGAACTGTAATGGAACAATAATGAAATAATTATCTGGATGATAAAGTGAACACAACTACTTATATTAGTGGATATTATTTATCCACTGTAAAATGCTTTAAAAAGGAGAACTGCTATTCCCTGAGTGGGGTAAAACAAAAATTATGATGACTGGTAGGTTATGACGTCATTCTTCCCAACTTCTGACCACCTGGAGGTTGCTCCACTGCTGCTGGCAGAGGCTGCGCTTCTGCCCCATCCCAGCTGCCTCTTCCTTCTCTCCTGCAGGAGAAGGGTCCCAGCAGAGACCAGTGGTACTGGCCACATCTCTAACTATATTTTACTTAAATAATCTATTTAAATGACTTACATGGCAGCTGTACATAGGAAAAAAAAAAAGTAGAGGGCATTTAAGAAAAATTAGTCCCTTGTTTTAGTTTCCTATCTTACCTTTAAAGTCAGTAATTTTAAAAGCAAAATATGCAGGAATTTTCAATTGACAATACTTTTCCTAAGGTCTTGGGAAAAAGTATGACTGCAATCTAACTGATTTTAATTTTAAATAGCCATTATTTTACTTTTGCTTTTTAAAACATGTGTACTTAGAAAATATGCACACAGAAGACAGCAGAACCTTGCTAGTTAATGCTCCCTGAAAAATTAGAAAAGAACACATGTGAGAAATTAAGAGTCTTTATACATGAAAGTTGACAAATACATCAGCTGACATAGTAACACTTTTAAGAAACAGTTTATAGTTAGTCAGACAATAAAAGAAGAAAAATTTGGTAAGCCTAGTAATTTTGATAATATGGTACTTCATGAAAAAGCCACGTCATTGTTGGCTGCGAAAGACTTAAAGCAATCAGGCTGCTGTGAGTGAGGACCTGGTTTGAAGATCGTTGGCTGAAAGGATTAGCAAGTTTCTGCTGCACGGCTACTTTAATTTCACTCTCAGCTTTACAAAAATACCACCACATAAAAGCCGCTACTCTCTAAAAACAACCCCATTTGCTTGATAATTTCAAAAATACTGTCTGGATAGCATAACAAGGATAAGGATTAATTGTTTTTTAAGTAGATTTTAAAATCAAGTATGTATGATTTGATAAAGTAAAATTTTGTTACTCACTGAGAGAGACTATGGCAGATTGGATTAAAGCATTCAGAAGAACAAGAGAGAGCTTTTAAACAAGGAAAAGAAAGCTCTGCATTGAAGTTCAAAACAATGTTTTAAATATGACAATTATGGCATTCACAAAACTTCTAAGCATTTTCTAAAAATCTTTAGAACCTCTGCACCACGGTGATCATACTGCTGCTCGCCTCCCTTAGCCAGTCCTGTGTGCTTCTTTCAGCCAGGTGGCCTGAGAAGAGACTGGATGCTACAGCTTCTGCCCACTCAACTCTCAGCATAAGATTTTTCATCTAATGCCTCCAACAGCCTCATTCTCTTCTGGTCTCTTACATTTAAGTTTTGTTTGTTTCACTGGATTTTGCTTCTTCTCATAATTTCACTAACGTTCACTCATTTCACTAATGTTTCAAAATACAGGTAAATAATAGAGAGACAGATGTTGGTTGTTTTATTTTTTATTTTTAAAAATGCAAAGTTGGCTTGGCCAGGAACTGCTCAGTGTCTCTAGAAGTCTTTGAGATGAAACCCATCATCTCCAGGCATCATACAGAGGAAAGCACCAGAATTTCTAATCTCCCAACAGAATCATAACCCACAGCTGTAATATTACAGGTGAAATAAACTTAATGCACCAAGACCACGTCATCCTCATCATTACCAAACCTTACCCCCCACTCAGTAAGGCAGAACTTACTCTACCACAAACGCCATTTTGCACCTGACTATTTACTGTGAGACCTTAAACTCCTCGACTAAGGAATTAATTGCCAACTGCAATGTCTTTCCCTGAGGTCTGGCTTTCATGGTAGAAAAACAAAGCTGCAGCACCACTTAGCTCACGTTCAGTAACAGGCAGTAAAACCTGAAGTGGCTCAGCCACATAGTTCCATGAACTCAAACCCAAATATGACTGAATGTCCCGTAAGGTCTGTGGACATCAAAGCCAAAAATGCACTGTGAAGCCTGGTTTTCTATAGCCTGAGCTCAGAGAAACCAGACAGCCCACAAAAGAGCTGTGTGTCATCTTAACCTTGAACGCTGCTGTTCCAATGTCTAATATCATATTTACAGCAGCCACTTTTTCCTGGGGAAAAAACAATAACATACCAATGGAATATGGTCAAAATATACTTCTTGTGTTGTATTACAGCACACATCTAATCTGTGATTTGCTTAGTTTGTGAACAATCCTTTTATTACCAAACCAAGTTGTGTTGGCAACTAATACACAAAAATCTGTCAGCAAGTATCTTCCAACTCCCAAATCCCAAATAATAAAGAAAGAAAAAGATGAAATAGCCTACCAGTCTGCCAAAAGCCTTTTTTACACCCAGTGAATGGTTTACTTTTAACAAAGGAGCAGGAACCCTGGAAGAAAGGGTACTGGTCCTTTCTAAATTTCATTAATTGATCACATGACAATAAAAGAAACCTCATAAACCAGAGCAGAGCACCTCTTGTCTCGCAAAGCACCTCTTAAATAGTCTAAGAGAAAAAAATTGTACAGATACAAAGAAGATTTTCTACAATGATGACTGAAAACATAAAAACCAGTGTCCACAGTATTTCATTCTCCAACAGTTAATCAAACTTCCATGTTAGGAAAGTCTGTCATCAACAATCTTCAAGCATTCTCCCTGGTTTTAAAAACTGTCTATTATGAAATAAACATATAGATTTACTTCCAACACAGAACAGAAACTCTGTGTTTTAGTTTATAGAATTAAAGCCAATATACGCAGATGAAATTGACTCTACGGATAATCAATTCAAACTTTAAGTACTTCTACATAATAAGAAATTAAAAAGAAAGACATTTTTTTCAAAGTAAAAAATGGCCTTATGATTATATGTAAGATTGTTACTTCCTTTCCTATCTTTCTGAAACTGGAATTACTGGGTGAACGACTCACAGAGACTTGATCATACAAGACTTGCTCCTTAATGAAACCAAGCGAAACCACAACACGTTTGCCAAAAATTTTAGGACAAAATAAGCTCAAAATAACTTGTAGCGCAGCAATATGATGTAATAGCAGTGACAGAGATACAATACCTTGGGCATGCCATCACTTCCTCCCATAAGATAGTCTATCAGCCGATTTGTTAGGGCCTCATCTTTTGCCCGTCCCACCTATTAAATAAAGACAGAAAAAAATACGATATGAAAGAAAAAATACTTACTGATAAGGAGGCTTTCCATAAAAACGCGTAAATGAGATAGATTTATATTTTTATTTATTTTTGTTAGTTCTGTGTATTGGAACCAGGTGATGACTTGGTTCACCAGCTCTGCCATGCCTCACATAGGAGATGATAACTAAAGAGGTCTCTACCAGCACAAAACTGTTCCTCTGCTTCAGCGTTGGGAAGGCATCTGGAACTAGGGCCCATGAGCTGACACCTGCTGTCACAAAGCCATGCCCAACAACCAGCCACACTCTGTGTCTCGAGGGCACACTCAGTGCTGGTCACTAGATCAGAGCCAGCACTATATGACCAGTTGAAGAGACAGTCCCAGAGGGTTGTGATCAATAATATAAATTCTAGCTGAAGGCCATTAAGTAGCAGCATACCTCAGGGCACAATACCGGGTCCAATCTGATATAGATGACGGGGAAGAGTGCACCCTTATCAAGCTCGCTGATGATACAAAAGTAGGCTGTGCTGCCATCCAAAGGGTCCCCGACAGGCTGGAGAAAGGGGCTCACAGGAACTTCATGAAGTTCAACAAAGGGCAGTGCAAAAATCCTGCACCTGGGGAGCAACAGCCCCATATACCAGTATATATTGGGGGACTCCCAGCTGGCAAGCAGGTTCTCAGAAAAGGACCTTGGTGGGGTCAAGTTGAACATAAGTCACCAATCTGCCCTTGCAGTAACGAAGGATAGCGGTATCATGGGCTGAATTAGGAGAAGTGTTGCCAGCAAGCTGAGGAAGATGTCCTTTCCCTCTGCTCCAGGTGAGGCCACACCTGGGGTGCTGTGTCCAGTTCTGGGCTCCTTAGTACAAGAGAGATATGGACATGCTGGAGAGAGTCCAGCAAAGGGCCAGTAAGACAATGAAGGGCCGGAGCATCTCTCATTGGGGAAAGGCTGGGACTATTGAGGTTGGAAAAGAGAAGGTCTGGGTGGGGGGAATCTTGGCAATTATATAAATACTTGAAGGGAGGATGCAAAAAGGAAGCAGCCAGGGTCTCTTCAGTGGTGCCCAGTGATAGGACCAGAGGCAATGGGCACTGGCTGAAACAAAGGAGTTTCCATTTAAACATCATGAAACACTTTTTCACCGTGAGGGTGAACAATCATTGGCAGAGGTTGCCCAGGGAGACTGTTAAGTCTCTCTCCTTGGAGATATTCAAAAGCCTTCCAGACATGGTCCTGGGCTCTAGGTGACCCTCCTTGAGCAGGGGGGGTTGTTGGACTTTCAGAGGTTCCTTCCAGTCTCAATCATTCCATGATTCTGTGACAGAGTGAGAATGAAGGCACATTGATCTCTCTAACCATAATGTGCAGACTGGAAAAATTTGCAGAACTGAAAAATCATATATGGATATTGCTAAAAAAGACAATTTCAAGCTCATTTGTCTCTGACACAACCACAAAAATCTGCATGAGTTCACAAACCTTCCTTTGAATGATGAAAACATGTTTTCCTCTGGTGTCAGTATGAACTGTTTCCACTTTTTAATGTTTAGGTATCACCTTTACAGATACAGTTTTCCTTTTATTTGTTTCTGTCCAAAGACACTTACTGACGTTAGGAAAATATCACAATACTGAAGGTAAACCTTCTGAAAAGATGAAGAATTTTTTGTTTTATCAAAGTTGCTTACCGTTTCAATTGCCATTTCTATAGCCAAGTTATCTTCTGTGCTTGGACTTTTAATAAAGTGATTTAGTGCCTAAAATAATAGAGAAGCAAAGTTAAAACTAAGACATGAACTCAACATTTTTCTGATTTTTATCAAGTTACTTCTCTCCGCACTTTGACAGACAAGTGGAAGTGGCACACTGAATGCTTATCCCGACTATATTTTACAGCCATAAGGACAACCACATACCCTGCAGAGGCAGCAGCTGCTCTTACTCCAGCAAGAAAGAAGAGAGTTGAGTCTGCCAAATTCTGGTGAACACCTTCATCTAAGACTCAAAGATGTTCACAGCAGCATTGTAAGAGGAAATTCATGACTAACGTCCCACTGGACCTCCCTACACCCCAGCTGAAGGAGTAGTCACCTGCAATGGCTGTAACTTGCAAAAATCAGTAGGATTTTTAGGCATGTGTTCAGCACGCAAAAGTCAAACACCCACTAAGTGTGAGTTCTCTGATTTGTAACGGATGAAAAGGAAGTGTGTCTATCAACGTAATTAGCATATTTCCTTTTTTTAAAAAGACCTTTAAGTTAGGACATGCTACAGTCTTAAATCAGCCACCAAGTCTTCATCAGCCAAGCTAATAAAATATAAATAAATTCTACTTCTCTGTTCATGATATTTAGAGGCTCATTGAGAATAGTATATCACTGATCTACCTGGAGCCTCTCTTGCTATGAAAAAGTCATGCGCACAGCAGAGTATAATTCACAGAGCACCATGTAGATAATTGCAAATGGAAATAATTTACTTATATTTCTCAAACTTTTAAAGAACATCAGTATGTCATCAGTTAAGGCAGCTGAAGTCTACTGTGAACTTCCTTGAGTTTGAAGTACACTATTTTGAACAGTTCCTATGAATGTTTAACTATTGCTGTTCTATCCTTTAAGTACTGACCCGTGCATATTGACCACACAGCAAGAAAAATTTTCCCGCCTGAAAATGTTTCTTTTCTCCTTCGAAATATAGTGCAATGCTTTGATAATCTTCATTGCTAGTACTTTCAGAACCTGCAACAGATAGATAGCAATGAGAGCAGAGTATTCTTATTGAGGAAGATACAGGCCCTACGGAAGTAACAAATTCCTACTCTACATTTTGTTTTCTAGAGACATTCAAAGAAAATTAAAGTCAGTCAGACTCAAATTTTGTCTTATGCATTTTTTTTCTAATTAATGTCTAAATGTCAGACATCGGGAGCTAATAATCCAGGGAAATAATTGTTTCCATAGGTTTTACACTGTAATTACTCTTTTTTTTAGCAGGCATAATAAAATGGCATAAGTATGACCACTAACGAATTTTTCCATTATGTCTTGGTAACAATAGAAGAGAGCAAGTGATTGTGAGATTATCACGTGAATTATTTTCATGGTTTCAAAATACACGAGTGTATTTATCTCACAGAGCAAGATTATTGGGACCAACGTAAGCACGTGGTAGCAGGGAATACTGCTTAGTCTTCTAACCAAGACACCATTTGACTGTACACATCTAAAACAAAGACAGCCCTTTAAACAAAGTGTTTAAAACCCTTTTTCACTCATCCACTTCAATTACTATTTGAGACACTCTATTTTGGATAGGAGAGAAAGAAGAAAGCGTAAGGAACCTTAGACCAACAGTGGTCGCCTTGACAAGCAGCTGTAACCGTACATCACCAACCCAGGTGCTGTCAAGTTTCTACAACCTTCACAACAAGAATACATTTTTAAAAGGAAGAGATTAACTGAAAATATTAGCAAATTTGGCAGATACATATGTGGAACTGTTTCCACAAAGAATGACGCCTGATGCAGGTGAAAAACATTTACTGCGACTTGATAACCCGGCCACTGACTGACTTCACAGCCTGAGGCAAAAGTCAGCTTCTCAGTACGGCGTCCTTTTCGTCTCTCACTGAGACGAGAGAAGGCTACAAAGGGCCTTTAAAGGAAAAAAAGGGAAACACAAGGGACATACACATGTATGATAAGAGCTGGAACCATGAAAAAAGGAAAATAGGGGATAAAAATCAAGAACTGTACCAGTAAAATTTTCAGTTTTGGAAGAGCAGAAAATAATAGTCGAGATAAATGCTTTATCTTTATGGATAATCAGAAAAATACTGTCAGAGGCAAGATTTTAAAACAACCTAGACGGAAGATGAAGGGAGATAGCTAAGCTGAAAGCAAAGCTCAGCTTGTAGGCATGAGTTAGACATGGATTGTCCACGGTGACCGGAAGTGGAAAAGGCTGGGAAACAAAACTTCACAGCCCTTGTCTTATGATTTCAAATTGCCTTAAACCAATTAAAAGAATAGGAAAAGATATTGCAGGCAAACTATTAACCCAGAATACTCACTTATGATATCAGCATAAATCTCCATCTTGTTGTGTTGTTGAGCTAATGTGAAAGCTTCATTATTGCATTTGGACATGACCAGGAACTGGATGGCAGAACCATAGTCACCAAGCTGCAGAAAGAATCTAATGAGAATGAACAAATAAATACCTTAGTACTAATTAGCAGAATCACAGAATGCATTGGGCTGGAAGTGACCTTTAAAGCTTATCTAGTCCAGCCCTCCTGCCGTGAGCAGACACCTAATGAATGCATCAAATGTTTCAGGCATATATTGTGACACATAAAATAAATTAGAAATGTATCGTATTTGTATCTCAATTATTTTAAATAGGTTACTAAAATTAACTTAGTATAAATAATGCAGCGTGGCAACTTTTATTATTATCCAAACATATTACTTCAGGTTTCTACAATCTTAAACAGAAAGTTTTTAAAAAAATTAAGTCTGTAGCTACTTAGATGTCCAAATTTTAGAGAACTTAAAACAATAAACTGAAATATACAGCCACTGGCCAAACACCAGTAGTCAGAGTCTGATAACATTAGTAACCCTCATCAACTTCCAATAGGTATGTCCCCTTTCACCTTTTTTTTTTTAACTCTGTGTAACAATTGTTACCTGGCCACCATCTTTGCTCCTTCAAGAGACTGTGTTTCTCTCACAACATCAACAGCCTTTTCAGGATTATTAAGGTGATCCAAATACAACCGGATTACACTGTCCCACTGTTTTGCGTGCTCATAAGCTAGGACAGCTTCCTTGTACCTGCAAAATAATGGTTCCACATCAGTATTTTTAACTTTTAAATAACTGCAATATGGTGTGAAAGAAACATATAGTATTTTATTTCCGAGAGGTTACTTTGCGACACCTTCCCTTTGGTTTGCATAACAGCCTTGCTCTGCATTTACTAGGTTTTTTTGACTCTTGGGAGAGTGAAAGGTAGAGAGTACAGAAAAAATCCTACCACAATCATATTTTTGACCTACTTTGCACCAGCATCCCTTTTTTTTATATCTTAAAAGTGGTTCATTTGTTCCATCAGCAAACATCACCTGTTCTATTGGTTCCATATAAAATCCCTTGGGAGTGTGAGAACAATAAAAACCTAACAGATGATAACTAGTTTTACAATTTTAAAAATGAGACTCCTTTTCTATTCCATAAACTAGATCAAGAAAATTCTTATTCTCACACTATGCAAACTGACACAAACAGTATTTTTTACTCCCATCAATGCAAACATTTAGCTTTGGTGCTGCATCATATTATAAAGTATCATTATTCTGAAGCACATTTACTTACAGGTAAGGACTAGTAGAAACTACACTCTACGATTAAATATATCCTATTTTGGACTTTCATTTTAGCCAATAATTTCACATTATTCAATATTTTGCATGTGCAGCCATTAAGATGTAGCAGTAATTTGACTCTAGAATTAAAAATCTTTCATGATTATTCCCCCTTTGAAGAGCCTTTAAAAATCACAGCTAAGGAGTCGTTAGAAGCAAACTGAACTTCAATACTCTGCTAAGTGGAGTTTTTGTTAAAGGTATTAATGCTCATACAGGAAACCAAAGAATTAGAAACACACCTTTGATACTAGTGGAAGGTCCTTAGCTTATGTTTAAAAACTTTACAGAACACCTTAAGTTCACATATTTAAAAATACATTTTCACAAGATTATTTTACACAAAATTTAAAGCCTGTTTTTAAATCTATTTTATAAAAGAGTAATGTATAATAATAATGACAACAATAATAATAACATGTTTTATAGAACAGGATAAGCATTCAAATGCACCTGCCATCTGCTTCTTTGGCCTTTGCATACTGCAGGTGAATCTTTGGAGATGAAACATGAGGAAGAAGTTCACCAACCTTTGCCCTAGAAAGACAAGAAAATGGTTATTTAAATAAATATATCTGGTTTCACATTTTCTCCAGTACAACAGGCATATTTGTGTCAGCACTGAAAAGGAAGCTAAAAAGAAGTAATCAGACATAATGTATAAGCTTTGAAAGCGCTTTAGTATTTTCAGAAAGCTGCACTTTATAGATGTAAGAACTGGAAATTATAGACTGCTCCACAAACATACAGGCTTAAGGGAAGACAACGTCTTCTGGTTTTAAAGTCTGAAATGCACAAGCATAAGAAGTACCAGACCAACCATTTTTACCTCTGATGTTCTCTAATTAACCTACAGAAGCAGCACAGCATTAAAACTGTGAAAGAATGTGCAAAAGAGTACAAAAGACCATCAGCTCAGGTGCAGCTGTGATTACTCCCGCGACTGTGTGCTTCAGGCCACAGGTTGTACAGAGGATTCGGAGCAATTAGAAGCAGATTCCCCGAGCCATGACACTTGTAACAGCAGAGTGTGGAGGAACACCTAACTCTCTCAGTCCCATAAACCTGGCTTCGGGAGTTGCGCACAGGGATATGATCAATAAAAGGCAGCACACTAAGCAGTGAGCCTAAAGCCAAACAAAGGATATGAGGGACTGAAGGGAGGCTGACCTGAAATCTCGCCTCCCTGCTAAAAGACAGAGCGCTCCCCAAACAATCTCCTTCCCTGAGAGTGAACAAAGCTTGTACCTCCCACTTCCCAAATCGAGGCTATCATCATTTCCAAGTTACTCTACTTAAGAAAGTGTTCTCTTGGTCTGTTCTGATGCCACTGACACTTCTACGATGGAATAAAATTTTCCTTAGTAAATGAACATAATATTCCAATCTAATTTTTAGAGCACTTGTATGGAAGAGGAGAGGGGTCTTTCTGATCTTTGCTGCAATCAGTTCTTAATATTGTAAGTCCATAAAATATAATTAGGCAAGAATTAAGCCCTTAAGTCTCTCACTAAACTATGTGCTTCCACTGGAAACGTCACAATAATCAAATTCACTTAAAAAGAATTAAAAATGCATTCAACATAAAGCCAGCAATTTAGACTACTCATGATTATAGACTCCACCTGAACCAGCAACTTAGAATCATTGCCAAGCTCAGTTACATATTTTATAACTGAAGAAATGTAATGAACAGTAAGTATATGAATAAAATTAATAAATTCGGTGTCTGCACGCACACATGCACACACAAACACAAAGCACTCAAAACTGCAAGTAACTTTAAACGTAACACAAAAAAAGAAAAAAGAGAGACTACCTCCCATTTACAGTAAAGCTGTATTAAAAATAACATAAGCTGCTGAGTGAACACTTGTCCTAGTTTGAGCTTAACCAATTCTGTTCTTATTTAAGCTTAGGGGAGGGAACAATAAAATTAATAAAAGAGAATTAACGAGATCATTTGTGCTATTCAGAGAATCATTGCTCTCCAACGAGCAACACAGCAAGTCCTCTGAAATATAACACTTCCCCAGAACCTGTACTTACCAGTTTTTACACCGGATGTACACTGATGCTGCCTTGTCATAATATTGTCCTTTTTCGTACAGCTGAGCAGCTTCTGAAAATTGCTAAACATTGGAAATCATTAAAATATAATTTCTAAATAAAGATTACAAATAAATAAACAGCCTAAGATTCACATATTCAGCCTTTAGCTTTATTAACTCTTTTGAATACCTTCATACTTTCCAGAATAGCTCCACAGTCTCTTTTTAGTAACCTGCTGGGATGTTTAATGGCCTGGTTTACCCCTCGACGGATATCTCCCATTCGAATGGACATCTGAGCCACTCCAGCAAGGCAAGCTTCATCATGTTCCTGGTACCGGCAATCAAATGAAAACCAGTAACTATACGTTATACATTATAAATAGCAGGTGACAAAAGCCACAGTAACAAAGCACTGAAACAAATTAACAAAACATTACATGGACTTAATTTTTTTGTCTCAAAATCCCTGCTTAGCTGCCACTGCCACTTACTTAACACTCAGCTTTCTTCTTAAGATTTGTCTGTAATTTTCAAATATTACCTACAAGATCTGTCCGGACCAAGCATACAAGACAAGAATCTGTTTTACAGACAGCTCAGTACAACTCTCCTCTTTCCTCCACATCCAACAGAAGAGAAAAAAAAAGAAATTAAAAGCAAGATACTTCTTTTTTTAAAGGTGGTAAGGCCACTGGTGTTTCATAAAGCCATATGGCTTGAATTCAGAAAACACTGTTATTGCCCCTATTATCATTTAAGCTCCAGCATAATAGACATTTTGCAAATATTAGAGGAAATAATGTTAGAATAAAGGAGGATCTACTTAATGTAATGTTTGTATTCTACCACAATCCTTGCTTGCCTTTATATAGGTAACAATTCAGTAAAGAAGAACGGAAGGAGTAATTAGGACTTCTGTTGTAACAATGAAAATCCTAGCAATATTTTCTCTGACATTTGCATGTCTATTATGAAACTGCTCAAATTATAAGATCCTAAGTCTAGTTACGCCATGTTAATACAATGGCAATACTGCTTTACACCGAGAGGAAGCATCATTCCGTATATTAAGAGAAGTGCAAAAACTACTATCCCAAAAGCAATAGTCATACAGATTTAAAGCTGAACAAAAAAAATCTGAATTCAAATGAGTCTGACACTCGACAAATTAATATGTAGTATGAAACTACAAACACTATCATTACTGAAAAGGGATTACCTTATTGTTTCCAGTGATTCCCTTCTCATAATGTGCCAGAGCATTAACATAATCACCCCTAAAAGAAAAAACAGAAGTTACATGGAAAAATAGGAAGAAACGGGTACCTTCCTATCACACAGACAAGTAGGCAAAGGACAGACAGTTCTGCAGTATGTCCTGACACTTCCTGCACGCTTTATGGAGCTCAATCACCGAGGCAGTCCCTCTTTCCATTCCATCATACTGAGACCAACGCACCTCCCTTGAAAGACAGGTGAAGAACCTACCAGCACAACACACCTCAATAATCTCATCTCTACTTCCACATTTTTCTGAATGACAAATGAAACTAACCTTCTAAAATTATTTGGAATTTTGGCAACATAAAAACGAAGGCAATTTTTTTCCTTCAGTACGTTCAGAACTCAAGATGCAGATGTCTGCATTGTTTCGACTGCCTCCATTCCTTCCTTTCTGCGACCAAGTGTCCTCTGTCTGTGCGAGCAACACGGCCAGGGGAAAGGAGTTGTCTAAAAGCTCTATTAATAGAGGGGAGTTTTTTCCTCTTGGTTTAGATACTAAATAGACCAGGTTTCATTTGGAAAGATTTTGCTATAAAATAGACTTGAAAATCCTGACAAACTGTTAATACCTTCTCTCTTTCAGGGACTGGCAGACTTGAAATTTGACATTTTCCTCTCTCAGCAAGGCAGTCAGCTGAAGTATCTCAATTCTATATTCTTCTAATGAGCATGAATATTGGTTTAACATTCTTACACAGCAACTTTATGGGAGAACTTACATGAATTCAAGCTGCATTGCATATTCCTTCGATATGAAAGGGATCTGGTCTGGGGCCAAACGCTTGGCCAGCTGAAGTGCGCTGTCCCAGTGTTGCAAGTCTTTTCGCATCTATTTATAAAGAACAGTAACATTTTCTGGTGCAAGTATTCTGAATTCTAATTCTGAATTCTAATATGAACGTTATACTAAATACAAATACATAGCTAGTATTCTAGAAAGATTCAGATAATGTGAGAGACATTCTAGATGTCTCTAAGAATGTCACATAATGGCAAGAACAAAACATAAAAGAGCAGAATTATCAGAAGGTAAAATATTTCAACAGTAAGGTGGAGATGAAAACAGCAGGAGAAAAAGTTACACATCTTAAATGAATACCTCAAGTGCAGCAATAGGACAGGATGAGGCCAGATATAAATCCTGGGCCAGATTAAAATCACTAGTAAACATGGCAAGATGCCCTGCTAAAAGGTTGTGGTCTTCTATTCCCTGTAAAAAGATGTAATTGTTACAAAAGTAGCCCCAAAGAAAAAAAATCATATTGTTAGAAGTAATATCATTTAGTAAGCACAGTAAACCAAAAGCACTCTTACATTTTACAACCATGTGTATTGGACTCTACACACCAGAGAAAGCCCTCACTTCCTTATTGTAGCTCAAAGCCGCTACAGCAGCTAAAATCAGCAATTTTCAAAAGTGTATTTTAAGGTACCACTTCATGCACTCTTCTAGATGTACAACTGCAATCTGTTTTGGTTTTATTTTTTAAATGACAGCTGCATTAAACATTTTCTCAAAAATAACAAAAGGATGAAAGAGCTTCCAAATGCCTGAGACATGAATATATTCTGCTGTTCTCAAGCAAATGCAGAAAAGAATGTTGTGCATTCCAGTAAAGAATGTAACCACTTCAAGAGAAAATTAAGCAAGAGCTATGTGACTTAGATATTGTCTCCTCTATAAATATTAACTCCCTTGAAAATAATTCAACTACTATATAAAAAACCCAAAACCCAAAATCCCCACATAAGAATTCAGCAATTATTAAAGAGGAATTAAATCTCCATACTTCCTATTTAAAAGGGACTTTACATTTTACCTTTATTTGCTCTAGTGACATCACCATCCCAGCATTACCAAATGTCCGATAAACACGTATTGCAAAATCCACCTCCATATGATGTAAGCAAGCTTTAGCCAGCTCATTCCAACCAGACTGGTCATTAAGAAGTCTGCACAGCTCCCATGCTTCTGAAAACCTATAGAAGGTAAAACACACTTAAAACTAGTATTACTCATACCTAAAATTCCCTCTCAACACTGTTTTCTTAATTCTGTGGTACAGAAAACATAAAAAAACATTTACTTCTAAGCCACAGAGAGAGCAATGTGTCAGGAAGAAAGGAGAAATACAACTGCAGAACTCAGTTCTGTTTCTCCTGTTTCTATGACATTCTTTCAGGACATCAAAAACTACTCTGACATTTATACTGATTTTACATTGCTTCATTGCAGTGAGAGGAGAGCATGCAAGAAGTACTTCCAGTCAGTTTTGGAAGAGCCACTGTCATAGAACCCCGAATCAGTCTTGAAAAAAACTACTTTAGCTTTTACTTGACGGTGGAAAAACACTGGGTCACTTATTTAGCTCAGTCTGCATAGACAGCTACATCAATTCACAGATCAATCTACCTTTTCATTAATCAGCACAACATTTTAAAATCACCAGGATATGTTGTACTGAGCTAATAAGCAGAGAAGAAAACAATTTACACAATCTATTTAAAACGCAGATGTACCTTTTCAACATTAAAGTCTGAGCAAGCATTTGTGTCAGCTCATTAGGTCCAAAGTCTTTCAAATTGCCAAGGAAACTGTGAGTGCTTAGATAGATATTGTTTGTTTTCCCACTCCGAGTCTGACAAGTTAATTCTCCATTATACAACAACAAAGGTTTATGGGAAAAGGGGACTTCCGTGCCACCTGCCAAAACAATCTTTGATCCTAGATTCAAAGACCAGGGAGAAAAGAAGACATCATTAACAAAAAACCCTACATGGTAAAAAGTTTAGCAAGCAGTCATAGCTGAAATACTGTAGATTTGCAGAGCATTAATTCAAGTCCTTTAGTTCTGGTAACCACCATTTACTGTACAGCATGTGTCTTTCAGTAAAGTAAATATGTGTAACTTCAATCTTCTAAACTAGTAAGGTCATTTTCCAAATGTTTGTAGGTAAACTTCTGAATATTTCTCCGTCACCAATACAGAAATTGCCATGATTACAATTTTGGTTAACTGTGTAAGCGAATACAAGTTCTGTCACCCTGATTCTGAGATTTTCACGCGAACATTTCAAAATACAATTGAAGCACAACATATAATTTTCAGACAAAAGACTATAACAGCTGAGCAAGTTAAGACCAAAATGCCTTGCTGGAGCTTTACAGAGAAGCCTGCAAAACAACTAGTTCTCTGTTCATCACTTTCAGTTCTCTATTCGGCACTTCAGAACGTCTGTAGTACTATTTACTTTTATATGCAGCTATGATAAGAAAAATGAAGACTTAGAACATATTTTATTAATTAAAAGAGTGAATAAGGTTTTAAAAGCATTTACAGTACCTTGAATGGCATCCTTATGAAAAACGTAAGCGTACACTTTATCATCATCAAATGCAACAAAAACACCTCTATCCATTGGCCAGTTTTCCCACAGGATTCCTTTAATAGTTGGTGAGAAGTTTGGAATCTCGTATAATCTATCATTTGCCTACAAATATCACAAAAGTGAAATCAGTCACAACTGACTACAGAGACAAACTAAATATTCATCCTGGTTATGATTTAAAATAAAAAGAGAATACAAATAGTGCAGAAAATCTACTAACAGAATGTTTTCTTAATACAAGTAGTGCCACTGAATAACAACAGTTTAATTCAGAAGGGAAGTAAATGGAGAAAATGAACATTATACGAATGTTACTTACTTTTCTTAGAAAAAAAGATAATGGGGACAGGCAGTGAAACTGACAGTGCTTGTTAATGGGCTAAAATATCTGTATTTGAATACAAAACCACACATATTTCTGAAAATTACCGATCATGAATTTGGTGTAATGAAATTGTCCTGACCTAATATGACAGTTTTATTGCCTTACATTACTGTTAAGTTATCTTCAAGCCTCCCCAGCAATTTCTTCTACCCACATACATGTTGGGGTGACAAAAGCTTCCTCATTCTCTGTTAAAAACGCTATACAGTTGAAGTGCCTGCTTCTAAATGGAGTTGTATGGGTACCCCACAGTAACTTACTGGACAATAGACAAAGCCATCGCTTTTGTCATCTATCAAAGCCAATCTGGTTCCACTGGGATCTGGAAAAATTTTTCTCACACTGACAGGATGCCGGTATTCATTCACATATTGCCAGTCTTCAATGTAGAAATAACGGATAACTCCAGTCTAATAAGAAGTAATAGAAAAAATGACATCAGTGTAATAGATTAATGACATCAGTAAGTGGCAAGTAGACAATGAACTTGGTTGTAGTTTCACCCATCTTAGCCTGCTAAGCATGAAGACCATTCAAAGAAAAATACTTCCAAGCATTTTTTTGGCTTCCTTCTTCATTCACAGCTGGTTTTGGAATGGAGAGGAAAAGCCTGAGACTTTTTGGGGCACGTGGAAAGGAACTGGAGGTTTGAGAAGTCTTCTGTTTTCTCTGGTTTTTTATCTTACTCTGCTTTGTAGCAACAAGCTGTATTTACTATGCAACTCTAAACAAAGGAAATGCTTGCCTCATTGCTGAAAGAAGCTTAACCTTCCAAGCAAGCTGAAAAAATTCTTCTTACAAACACGTGTACCTAATTTGGGGGAGAAAAGCAATCAAACTGATTTGTTATTAATGCTCTACTTCAATCAGTGTCGCACAAAGAAGAATCATCATGGCCAGGCTTTGCGAATGAAGATATGGGAAGGGCTCTACTCACACTTGCTACAAGCGTGCTGACGGCTAAAAAGGCCGATGTGAGTTAGGCAAGTTCGGTTGCATCTGAACACACCTTTGGAGGCAGGTGTACGCCTGTGTCTCTCTTGTGTTTGTCCGACCGCATCAGAAGATGCCTGTTGGCTGCGGTTAGCCAAGCTGGTGGGGGGTGGAAATGAACTTTGGTTAGGCCACCTTTTCTAGGCCCCTCTCCGTGTGGAGCAAGCAGTGCTTTCCTTGAAAAAGGCTGCTTGGTCACTCAGGATATTGTCGAACAAGACTGTCATCTCTGGGGTCAGTCTCGAGCGACCAATGTCCTGAACCGCCTGCATGCAGGGTTGGGTCTGCGCTTCCAGTGCATCACCTGCCATTTCATCCCTCGCCTGTCACTACAGGACTTTACAAATGTGGGTGTAACCTTCGAGCCTGCACAACGGATTTTTTAAGTGAGGCTCAGCGTGCGCAGAACTGGCCCCACCCTTTACTCCTAAGCTTCATCTGCCAGGGCCTAGTGAGCTTGGATGGTGACAGCAAAGTTCTCAGGACACAGGTTTAGTTAGAGTACCCTTCTCTTAGATGGATGGCCTTACAGGGCTAAACGAGCTCCATCTGCCCAGGCTTGGAGTTAGAGTTGTTTTTCTCCTAGGATGGTTGCCGGGAGGCTAGTGAGCCCATCCTACCTGTGGACACCCTTCAGTTGAAACCTGTCTGGCATGGGAGACCCTATCGGAGGCATATGCCACTGCCAGCATAGCTCACAACCTCATAAGGGCACGCAAGCTTCTCCCCCGTGACAAGGGGGTGTCTGTGGAGAAGCCCAAAGAATACTGAAAGTAAAAGGCGGCTTTCGAAGTCAACTGTAAAATTTGCACACATCGAACAGCTGCATATGTAAGTGCTTCAAATTTAGCAGTACCCCTTTAGGTGCTGAGAAAGCGGGAAAGCCCTCAGCTGCTGCAAAACTACTCAAGTTATTAAACCAGTGATAACACCAGAGACAGCAATTTTGCCTTTCCTCTGGAAGGACAATATCTCAGTCTGCGTCACAAGGTGCACAAGGCCACTGTATTCCCAGTGTCAGAAAATACTAAAAGAAAAGAAATTAGCCATCGTGCACAGGAAAAATCTCTGGAAAATTCCATAAGCATGTTCACATCCTTCTTCAGTGCTCTCCTAACTCCTCTCTTTGTTGAAACACCTAAAAAACGTCTCTTTGGGCAAAGGCTTCCAAGTCAAGACTCACTTATTTATGCTATCGTAATTGTTTATCTCAGTATCTTTTTGTCCACATCTATCATATCATCACTTAATTCAAGAAATTTGCCCGACGTGTACTATGTTCTTTCAGTTTGATTGTTTGATTGCCAACTAATGCCACACAATTACATTCTGCTACTAAAATCAGTGTTTTGCAACAAACACTAGTAAAAGCAAATCTTAACCTTCCTG